TGCTAGAGGGGAATATTTGACCCCATGTACGTGCATCTATGCACGCTATATTGTACAATGTATCATAACATCATAAGAACTCGATAATACGAGTGTAAGATAGCAGGGTATTTTCAGCCTCCCCTTTCCCCAGTCCCAAGAAACCTTCACTTTGGACTGCTCGTTGACGCCGCCGGCCGAACGTCTAATTTACTCGGCATGAACCCAAAATTGATATTCTCCCGCTCCCTGACGAACCGCTCGATACGTTCCTCCCGGCCTTTGCCAGCCACAGCCTGGCCTTGCCGTCTCAGCGCCTCGCTAATATTGGCCTCGTGAGCGTTCTTCTTCTCAAGGAACGTCGCTGTGCTATTATCCATCCTCGTCGTCTGCGCCACCGTGCCCACCGCCAACGCGGCCAGAACTAGCGCAGCGAAACTGGCGTTGGACATGTACATTGGCTTCTGCCTCTCCGTTCCGCCGTTAGCCTGCCGTTCGTGCCACCGCTCCCAGTCTTCCCAAGTCGCGTTCATGGCGGGGGAGTCCCCGCCGTTGCGTGCGTAGCCGTGGCGCCATGCTTTATCGGCGCGGCGGTAGACTTCGTTGATGTCTTCCGGTGCTGCGCCTGTCTTGCCGGGGATGTGCCAGCCGAAGCCCCAGGCGTCGTAGGCGCGGCGTTTGTCTGGGGAGCTGAGGATTTCGTTTGCGAGGACGATGAGGCGGTAGCGTTCTAGGCGGGTTGCTGCGGGGAGGGAGTCGAGGGCTGTGGCGTGGTGTTTGTCTGGGTGGTATTGTTTTACGAGCTCGGCGAAGCGGGCTTTTGTGTAGGGTGCTGCTTTGTCTATTGCGAAGATGTCGTAGGGGGTGGGGTTCTTGCAGGTTGGCCATGGGCTGCCGGTGCCGCCTTTCCCTTTTGATGATCCATTGTGAGGAGGTTTGTGGTGTACTGTTGCGTAGGATCGTGAGGTTGAGGATCGTGTGCTGTGTGAGGCGGGGTGTTCGGAGGATGGTCGTCGTGAGGGTGGTGACGTTATGGATGTGTGGTGTGCGGGGATGGCGAAGAGGTTCAGGACGCTGTTGCTGGAGCAGATGGCGAATGCCGAGGACGTCTTGAGGACCATGGCTGCGGTTGAATAGGTAGATTAACTGGGAAAGGTATCTCAGGGAGGTTGAGGGGCGGGATCGAGGACGAGCATCTTTTGAGGCGTCGTCGTCGGGGTTTGTATAGAGAGAGCTCGGCGATGTAGGTAAGTGGCCTGGGGAGTGAGAGAGTTTGGACGTCGGTGGTTCGACTTGCACCAGCGGCTCGTCCAATTGACGCATTCGTGCTCAGTGCTCAGTGCTCAGACTCCCGGGTGGTCTTCCTTCCAGGGCAGTTACTGCAGTCTGCCAGTGCTCCTCCCCCAAGCCGATCCGATAGCTCCGCTGCAGGAAACGAGTGGAGCGGGGACGGAGAGGAGAATACGTACTGTGCCTACTCCATACAGGATAGGGATCAGACCAATCGGCTGATGAAGGGCTCGCCGGGGTGAGGTCGGTAAGGGACGAATGGCATGGCGGGAGAAGCTCTCGGTGAGTTGGATCGGGTCAATGTCACCACCCATGATCCAAGACCTACCCTGACACTTTCCGCACTTTGATCATTGTGTTGAGAGACATTGAGCATTTTAAGCTTATTCGGCATGCGTATATCAAAACCAAACTTGATAGAACTACTCTCAAGAAGCAGCAAGAGCTCCCGCGAGGCCCTTAGCTAACTGACAAGACTCTCAAGTAGGGGAGGGACTACCTGCGGTGAAAGGTCACGTGTCTCCACCTGCAGCGCTAGACCAGGAAGGCAAGGGGTCCCGCCCCGACGACACAGCTGATGCGCACCGAATGCACTGGGACCGGGGGTTCACCACCATAAACTTGCTTCCAGGTCCCAGGCGACTCTTCCTCCACACAACCACACACACAATCATACTCCTCTCAACCACGCAAACCCAACCATCATCCCACAATCCTCTTCGCGCTGCACCTCGTGGACGAAACACATTTTACGCTGTTTCAGTAGCCCGAGTCATCCAAAAACGACACAAACATTTCGCAATCGCGCAACCCACGAACAACGCACCACTACCACCAACCACCAACCACATCCCTCGACTTTCCTGCACCGAAACTCTGCCCGAGTCCCGGTCATCCATCCACACTTCCAACCAGCTGCCCTCCGGCCACGGAACCCACGACGAACCCCCACGCGACAAGTGACAATCCCGCGAATATCGAATATTCTTCAACGACGATTGCCCTTCTTTGTTGTCGTTGACTCCCACAGTACCTGTCTACTTCCTAATACCTACCGAGCACGACTCGCCCCTCGATACACATCGCGAAGTGGGGAAAGCAAAGCCCTTTCGCGCAACAACATTCAACGACTGCATCGCATCCTCTTCTCTTGCCATTAGGCACATATTCCATAAACACACATTCAAATGGCGGAAGCACTCGCAGACAAGCTTAAGGCAACAAACTTGAGGTTTGTGCCCCTCACCACCAATCTCCCAGGAAGAACCCATCGTTGAAAGCATGTTGGACTGACTTTCGCAGCGATGGCGCAGCATCAGACGACTGGAAGAAGAGCTTGAACCTGCCTGCTAGAGACAACAGACAGCAGACTGAGGTATGTACCGGCAAGGCCAACCTCCCTCCCCTCATCACTTCTTGTCCGCCTTCTCACGAGCTTGCTTCCAGGATGTCACAAACACCAAGGGTCTGGAGTTTGAAAACTTCCAATTGAAGAGAGACTTGTTGATGGGCATCTTCGAGGCGGGTTTCGAGAAGCCGTCGCCCATTCAAGAAGAAGCCATCCCCGTCGCTCTCACCGGCCGTGATATCCTCGCTCGTGCCAAGAATGGTACTGGAAAAACTGCCGCCTTCGTTATCCCCGCCCTCGAAAAGATCAACCCCAAGGTCTCCAAGATCCAAGCCCTCATCCTCGTCCCCACTCGCGAACTCGCCATGCAAACATCACAAGTCTGCAAGACTCTCGGCAAGCACCTCGGAATCAACGTCATGGTCACCACCGGAGGTACTGGTCTCCGAGACGATATCATCCGCCTCCAGGACCCCGTCCATATTGTGGTCGGTACCCCCGGCAGAATCCTCGACCTCGCGGGCAAGAACGTTGCCGACCTCAGCGAGTGCCCCATGTTCATCATGGATGAGGCTGACAAGCTTCTCTCCATCGAATTCACCCCCGTCATCGAGCAGCTCCTCCAGTTTCACCCCAAGGACCGCCAGGTCATGCTCTTCTCCGCCACCTTCCCCCTCTCTGTCAAGGACTTCTCCGACAAGAACATGGTCAGCCCGTACGAGATTAACCTCATGGACGAGCTCACCCTGCGCGGTATTACCCAGTACTACGCCTTTGTCGAGGAGAAGCAAAAGGTCCACTGCCTAAACACCCTGTTCTCCAAGCTTCAGATCAACCAGTCCATCATCTTCTGCAACTCCACCAACCGTGTCGAGCTGCTGGCCAAGAAGATTACCGAGCTGGGCTACTCATGCTTCTACAGTCACGCCAAGATGGCCCAACAAGCAAGAAATCGCGTTTTCCACGACTTCCGCAACGGCGTGTGCCGCAACCTTGTCTGCTCCGATCTTCTCACCCGTGGTATCGATATTCAAGCTGTGAATGTCGTCATCAACTTCGATTTCCCCAAGAACGCTGAGACCTATCTGCATCGCATTGGTCGCTCTGGTCGTTATGGCCACTTGGGTCTGGCCATCAACCTCATCAACTGGGATGACAGATTCAACCTCTACAACATTGAGAAGGACCTTGGAACAGAGATCCAGCCCATTCCTGCTAGCATCGACAAGTCCCTCTATGTCTACGAGAACCCCGAGTCCATCCCGAGACCCATTTCCAACTTCCGCACCGGCCAGCCTAGCCAGGGCCAGCCGCAGCAGCAGCAACACCAGCAGCCTGGTCAGATCCAGGGCCAGCAATTGCCTCTGCAGGGTGGCCCCGCACCGGGCAACTGGCAGACTCAGCAGCCCCAGCAAGGCCAGCAGAATGGATACCAGGGCGGCGGTAGAGGCCGTGGCCGTGGCCGTGGCGGCTACCGTGGTCAGAACCGTGGCGGCTATGGCGGCCGGGGACGTGGTCAAGGCCAAGGCCAGGGTCACCCCCAACCCCAAGGACAAATGTCCTAAGGTTCCATTCATCTCTTCTCTTTAGAAAGGCGTTCTGGCGTATGCAGTCGCGACGGAACACGTGGCTGCGTTTTGTTTGGATTGTACATAGTTCCTCTTCTTTTCATTCTCTCCTGATTTTGGAGGCGACACGGCACGATTAGACTGGGTCGGGCATCTCATCCATGCCCATCATGAGCTTTTAGGTACCCCTCACCACTCACGATCAGGAAACACGAAAAAACACTCGATCAGACCTATACGACTCGTCGCTAAGCAACAAAAGCTTCGTCACATATTCGCAAAGTTTTGGCCTGTACCATACCCCAACGGATCTTACTGGTCTTTTGTTTGGCTTCTTTTCTTTTTCCTTCGGCCTTCTGACGACGGGCACTTTCTACCCGGACTGGAAATGCATGCTGTCTGGAGACGACAGAACGAACAAGACGACAGGCTGAGCCATCGAAAAAAACAAACATCAACCACGGGGCGTGACGTCTGGCGTCAGACGAGCCACCACACCCCTGGCATGGAAATAACCCGCTCCCATCTTACCATGTCATGTGCTTCTTTAACGACGGCGTTTGGGGGAAACAAGCGGCTGAAACGGTATCAGCCCGGAACGGCGTTCGCATGGATGGCGGGCCACATTTGATTTCTGGTGGACAAAAGGGGAGTTGGCCCTCGCGGTAGAGGGCGGCAACACTACGGGATGAGGGCGGTTCGGTACCTCATCTCTGGTTCATGCGCCGCGGTGTCTTTTGAGTATTAATCAATCGATCGCGGAGACGACTGATGTTGGGATATGACACGGAGGGCGACGGGGTGGCTGGCATCCAATGGCGTCTGTCGGAGCACGATCTTCATCGTCGTGCATTTTCTTTGGCAGGGGAAGATTTGGTTGGAGGCCCTCCGTCCGGGGTAGGAGGAGGAGCGTTTGTCGTCGGTCGACTGACAAAGCCAAGATATTGCTTCTTGGCGCCCGAACTCAAAACGGAGGTTTCGACATCATCCGTTACGCATTCTACGCCTATGCCCTGCTTCTTGCGAGAAGGCAGGCTCGACGAACAACCGCAGAAATACCCGAGTATCATTACGCTTTTTCCGGCTCTCTTGGGCCCAACCTGACTCGGCTCTTTGAGTGTCTCGTCTGCCTTGCGAGGTGGCGCAGGTCTCTTGGATGAGCTGGCTTGGCTTGGGTTGTTGGGAGAGCGAGCGGCCTCTTTTGGTACTCACATCAACAAGAAAATAACGCAAAAAAAAAAACTGTTTTGGGAGAGAATCGCTGGATGGGCTGGATGGCTTTCGGACTGGGGTGGTCCTCAATGTGGCATCTACTGTCTACGGGCAGAGTGTCATGGACCGGAACTGGTGGGCTAGATAGTTGTCTGAGCATTTGGAGTGGCAATCAAAACACATTTCTCTCTCATGATCATTTCTACCGTGATTTCTGATGCCATGTGTGCTTGTGTCTTCGCTGGGCCAGCAGCTCGCTGTTCCGGTTCATCTGGTTGTCGTTACGAAGCACCATCGACGCATCTACTGCAATCCAGGTTGTTAGTTGACACATCTGACGTTGACGCAACAGGTGGTCTAGTCATGGAATCTAGGGTCATTACCGGAGAGCTGTTGATTAGTCCATGCCTTGGGAGGTCATCTTACGTGACAGTCGTGGACTTCTTCGGAAAAAACGCTAAGATGAATGATGTATAGATCCTGGGTTCCACCCAGTGCAGCTATCTATGCTGTGATGACTCCTTCTGTCGACGATACAAGGAGAAGAGGGTTAGTCTTAGCTTAGTAGGTACTTGCCTACCCCGAACGCGTGTCTTCAGGATGGATGGAGAGTGGGTGATCGGTATATAAAGGCCTCATTCGTGCCGTTGGTGATGGGGCTGCCAGAAGGAATTTGGGGATTTCGTCGATGATCGTCCAGTGTGGTGTCGCTAAGATTATGCTGGGATGCAAGTTCACGACCATGAGGGAGGCTATCCGCCTTCGGATTTAGACATAAGTCTATGTTATTCACCGATGAGGTGTCTTTGGGTCGCGGTTGTCTTCTTGGTCTTATTCGATGTGGTAGATGCAGGGGATTATGGGCGTTGCTGGGGGTTGAGTCTGAGGATCGGGAGCGGCTTCTTTCTGGAGAGGCTTTGAGATGTGATGTCGTGGTTGATGGCGTCAAGCCAACCTCCTCACGTATTTCACTCTCGGTAAAAGTCCATCTCACAGTGTCTGGCTTGTCTGACTTGCTGGCAAATGACGGTTTTTTTATATCTACTGGCCCGCAGTCTAGGCATCCAGGTAGGAAACCCAAGTCCGGTACCTCTTCAAGTCCAAAGCTCTTGGAACCCAAACTCTTCAGGAAGACGTCCCCATCAGCACCGGAATTGGGCACCGTCTTCCTCACACCACTACTACGGCAGGTAAAAAGATTGAGATCGGAGTATAGTCACTGTGTGTACGCGCCGCTACCTAGATTTCCTGCACGGCACATCGGAGCTCGCGAAGGAGCACTTTTGCTTGTAAGGCGAGGGATCTAGTTTTTGAAAGCGCGGGACGTGTACGTATTTCGGGTAGAAATATAATCACGCCCATGTCGTCAATCTCCGGACCCTGTGAAAGCCAAATAACCATTTGAAAGGTCAAAGTGGCACAAAAAAGTCCGGGTTTGGGGAGGTTGGTCACGTTGATCACTGTCACGGAGCAGGGAGAACACGGCTGGTGTAGTAGACTGGCCCGGCGCTGTTGCGGAGCGCTCTCGACTTACCTCTGGCGCGCTCTCGACTCAATCCATCTTTCAGATTTAAGAATTTTGTCGCGGAGTGCAGCGCTCGATGTCTTGTTTGGCAGGAGTTTGACAGGCCAGAAAAATAAGAAGAGAGAAAAGGAAGCTTGGGGACGCGTTGCGGTATTTATCCACGCGAATATTTCGTACCCATACCTTATCTGAATATGCATCTATCCGCACGTCCCGCACTGGCAATTGCTAAAGCGATGCAATGGATCCCGATTCCATTCACGGCTTAGCCTCGCTTTTTGTCTGCCAACGTCTTTGGATTTCATGCCAATGACAAACTTCCTATCATTGGACTCGCCGTTTGCCGCCCGTCTTTCCAAGGATGGTAGAAAAGAAGAGTACCAATTGTTGATGAAGCTGCAACCCACCGGCTATCGTTCAGATTGATCGTATCTAATCACCTCCGTCGGCGATCGTTTGGAGAGCGGGTTTTGACATTTCCGAAGCCGGTTCTCGGTGTGCCTGAGCTACCATAACGTGCATCCCGCTTCCGAATCGAGAACCCCTGAAGTCAGAACTTCATCTTCTCGCCTTGAGCGGACCTGTGCTTGCCAAAACTTACACGAATAGGCGCGGCTCATATCCAAAATTAACAACATTACGGTTGAGCAAGGAAACCTATTTCTAACTCCAGTCGTTTCCTTGGCAATAGTTATACAAGGTGACTGTCCAGTGGCTGTCCTGCGATTGGCAGTGAAAGGATTGATTCTCCGTGATTTAGGTACTGCGTCGGTATGAAGTCTTACCTGGCAAAATGGCATTGATAGATGTGGGGACATGCTCCGATATGCAGAGCCATAGGCGATGGGAGATTCTGCCTCGATGTCGCGTTATGCTGGGCAACAAGGCTTTTTTGCTCGTTGATCTGCAGCCGTGATTCGCTGGACGAGAAGTACGCCTTGCATCGCTTGTGTGGTTCTCTAGCCGCCGAGGTGCGGTCCAACCGAAGTGTGGCCCAACTCTCTCAATACCTCACTGCCAGCCCGGTCAAAGTTTTCTATCCATGAACAAGAACAGGAACCATAACGAATACCATTGACACCAAAAGACATGGTAAGTAGCCCTGTTCGCCGAAAACAGAGCTTGGTGCAACCTCATTCCGCGACAGCAGACTCACAACTGAGAACAGGCAGACGCGATAGGGACCGCCGCGAGCGTTGTCGGCCTCATTGGCGCGCTGCTGAAGACCATTCAAGAAATTCAAAAAGCCCGAGAACGAGTAAAGAACGCGCCAAAAAGGCTCGACGAAATCTCCGTGTTACTCCAAGTCACCTCGCAGACGGCTAGTCTCGTCAGAGAGGAGCCCAGGTTACAGACACCTGCGGTTATCCATCAGCTCGAGATACTGAACACAATCGCGGAGGAGCTGAAACAGCTTTTAAAAAAGCTGGACAAGAAGAGCCGGAAACACCCGCTTCGGAAACTCGCTCGTGCCGTGAGGATACAAGATGCGGATGACACTGAGCTGGCCAACATTACGAACCGTTTATCCGATGCCAAAGCGGAACTAGGCACTCGAATGCTTGTCATCCACGTAGGCCTGACGGGAAACCTAGAGGATGGCTTCAGAGTTATGCTCAAGGTTCTTGAGGAAATTAACTCAAAAGTGTTCCATGTGCTGGGTGAAAATCTTCATCTGATTGACCGACTTCGAAGCAGAGGTTTTACAATTGTTGGTATGCGTACACCTTATGAATCCCAAATTCAAGAAAGATTACTTCCGCTAACCATTTTCCGCACAGGGAATGGCGCTATCTCTCTCGGGCCAGCTGATATTCGATCCTTGCAATTGGAAGACGAGCTCCCATCCCAACAGCACCTCTCCGGTGGCAGTACGCACGAACCTTGGTTGCGGTAGAAACTTGAGACTGGAGCTAACCATATTGCCTTTAGGTCATGTATTGAACTTGCCGGAGTTCGGCGACTCCGGGTTTCTCTCCAACCTGTCTTCCATCCATCCCAATCTAAACACAGCATCTCAACACCACTTTGGATACCAGAGCTCGGCAAAATCTTTCAACTCTAGCAGACTTGCTAGTGATCTGCAGGAACAAAAAGGAAAGCCGTTTATCTTCGTCGACGATGAGACTGGGCTCGGCCATTCCATGTTCTCATTGTCGGTTCTTACGCCTGTTAGGTTTGATCGAGCGGATATCACGGCTTACTTCTTTTGCAAAGATCCTCAAAACGATCCAATATCACCCATCACAACGTCAACAATCCTCGGTGGATTGGCCTACGTCTTGCTTCGGTATTCCGATGGACCGGAGCTTCTGACGCGAATGAACTGCACCTTTGGGCACGAGCTCAAAATATCTAGAGCCGAAGTCTCCCGAGCCGGCTTATTCCATCGCATGCTAGGTGAAATTTTTCGACATGCTGCTTCGCGGCAAAGACGCCCTCTTGTGATCGTAATCGACGGAATAGACTTCGAAGGCAGCGAAGGGGACCGTGCAGACTCAAATATCTCTCGCCTGATATACCACATCCAGCAGCTCCAACATGAGAATCCGAAAACTTGTCTGAAATGGGTCTTGACCGGAAAATTCTCAGATACCTTACGGGGGCGGCTTATGGAGTTAGCAACGGGTGCAGACACCACTGAGATCATCCTCAAACCTGACGATGTGGCAGCAGCTTTTGGACTCCAAGAAGCTATTCACATAGTTGCGAAGACAGCAGCAGTTTGGGGACATTTTATGGAATATGGAGTGACGGCTCAAACAAATCCTACGAACGATGACATCTCGTGGTTTCGTTATTGCAAGTTAGCACAGTCATGGTGCGCGAAGCCAAGAGAGAGTGAACACGATTCAAGAGTGTTGTGGCTTCGGAAAGGTCTTCACTCATTCTCGGCCGCAAATGGTATCGGACTCCAAATAGCTTCAGGCAAGCTCCTCAGCAAAGAAGAGTCACCGGTTGTGGCGTTCTTCTCCTTTGCGACATTCGAGGCCGGCGCGAATCAGTCACCAACATCTGGTCGTGAGCAAATGAATCAAGCACAGGTTATTTGGTGCATTGTCGCACAGCTCCTTCGCGGGCAATTTGGGCCCGAGTCTTCGCTCGCTGAGATTCTTGTGCGGCTTTCTCCAACAGAAAGAGAAGCTCTCAATTCAATCTGCTCAGCCTTCGGGGAGCCAGAGAGTTCCTTCAAGCCCAGTGCTAACGGCGACGATCCTGCTTCGCCTGTGCCGGAAACGATCACTTCCTGGTATTGTCAAATCAGAGGTCTCACTCGGGATTATTTTTCAAAGGTTGCTACCGTCATGAGCGCTTGTCTGGAGGATATCAGGAAGGATGGCAAATGCGTCGTGCTGATTCTCGACGGTCTCGAGCTTCAATCCCAGAGTGCTCGTATGAGACTGCTTACATGGATCGCCAAGCTTGGCCATGGTGTCAGAGCTCTCCTTTGCATTGATGATACTCGCAAAGACAGCACTGGCGTCGAGTCAAGAGAGGCGGAGGTCATGTCGAATGCTCTCATTGTGGACGAAACTACGGAGTGGCGAGGTATGCATCCCAGTTTTTTTTAGTGTTACACAACGAACTTGGAGCCCTAACAGCAGATAGAATGCATTGAAAGCCTGCGGTTCGATGGCATGCACCAAAGGCGTGATCAAGTCGCAGATCCGCTGCCTGCCACCAACCAGTGGCTCTGGGAAACCGAAGAGTTCCAGGAGTGGAGATCTTCTGGTAAAATCTTGTGGATTATGGGTAAAGCGGGAAGCGGCAAGTCGGTTCTAGCGAAGAACATCCAACAACGTCTTCAAAGGGATGTTCCACACGGCGATTTCAATGACGATCCGTTCGTATGTGACTGGTTTTATTCAGCCCGAGGGCCTGACTTTGAAGCCAAAGATGCTTCAATGCTGCGCGCTCTGACTTTCAACATCCTCAGCTCAAGCAAGACGACGTTCGAACCTGCGACATCTATCTATCGGGCAAGATTTGATGCTGGACGGCAGGATGACGACTGGTTGCAGTCGGAGCTGTCAGACCTTTTCACGACACTCGCGCTCAGCCCTTCAACGCCCCGAACACTTGCAGTGGTAGACGCGTTAGACGAGTCAGAGAGCGTGACGGGACCATCAGGTCTCAAGTCGACGCACCAAAGTTTCAACTTGTTGCAGATGTTTACGGGAATTGCAAGTTCCCGGAACAGCCGCGTCCGCTTCGTCTTGCTCAGCAGGCCTGAGTCCGTCATCTCCAAAAGCCTGAGCAACTGTTTAAAGATCAAGATGGAGCAGTACAACAACCGGGATATTTCCATCATGATTGAAGGCGGTATCGAGAAACTTCGAGTTGCCTGGCGAGATGCCCTCTCCTCCGACTCCGACCATGACGACCTGGCGGATTTCTCCGAGGACCCTGACGCCTCAACTGACTCGCAGCGTTACGAGAGTCAGTCTCCCAATGACGACCTAGATATACAAGAGGAAACATTAGGCAAAATACGTGCGTACTTAGAAACTCATGCTAATGGCGTGATACTCTGGGTCATCCTGATTATTCGACAACTTTTGCTCTTGATTGAGGACGAGAAACTGTTTACAACCCAGGATTTGATGGACTCGCTTATTGCATCGCCGCCAGAGGTTGAAGAACTCTACATTAGATTTCTCGAAGGTCTCAAGGGTTCCAGTACAACCAAAGAACTGTCAAAGACCAAAACAATTTTGGAGTGGATTGTCGGGTCTCAAAGGAGATCATCCCTACAATTAACAGAGTTACGGGAAGTAATTGCGATCTCGGAGATGGGGGAGCACAGGCAATTCAGCCATGATTCCTTGGGTTCACGCAGGATGGTCATTGGAAAGCACCTTTGGCCCAAGTTCTGTCGCAGCATTCAGATGTACTGCGGTCCGCTGATAGAGATTTTGGATGATTGCCAAATGTCTAGACTGGACTCGCGACATAATGTCAGGCGCGCGGAACCGAATTGGACGATTCAGCTATCGCATCAAACAGTCAATTCATTCCTACAGACTCCAGGCCGCAGCGGAGAGTTTTACATTGAGGCAGCAAGAGCCGAAGAAATGGTCACGAACCAAGCCTACCGTTACCTTGGCATCCGTGCCTCATCACCCGGACAATTATCTTGCCGAAGCGCCGCAGAAGGTGAGAGGGACCCAATTCTGGCGCTGGAACTGGCCGTGGCACCTCTGCTTCAAGAGTCGTTGAAAATAAGCTTGCCCACAACTCGGCAATACACAAAGTCAGAGAAGCGGCCGCTCGCGAAGTTCGCCCTAGACGTTATACTGAAGTCTTGCCCAAATAGGAAGACCATAGTACAAACGCTAGGGACGGCTGATACAGATGGTTTGACACCTAAAGACTGGATAGCCATTTCATGGCTCGCAGACCTGTGCTTTATCCCAACATTTCCGGGCACGAGCCTGGAATCGTTCATCTTCTTCTGCTGCGTAAGGGGCCAAACGGAGGCTTTGAAGACTTTTACACTGCTGAAGGATGAATATTCCGAAAAGCACAAGAAAAAATTGATGGCAAGCGGCAGAGATTATCAGATCATTTGCGGCGCCGTCAAGGCTTTCATGAAAGTCCGAGATAACAACCACTTTTGTTTGAACGGAACGTTGGAGGCATTACGTGCTCTCTGCGAGGAGAAACTCCAACAGAAGTTAAAGTACTGTAGTACCCGTGTTGAATCAAACGCGTCAAGAGGTAAATCAGACCATCGGGGCGACATTGATAACCTACAGGGTTTTCTGCTCTGCCTATCGGAGCAAAAAGACCAATTACGAGAGGCTGTACAGAATTGTCGTAGTTCTGAAAGAAAGCTGTCGGAGAAGTCCGAGAGGCTGGTCGGCTGTAGTGAGATCAACCAAGCGTTCCAGGAATTGTCCGTGTGGATGAAATCAAATCTGGTTCCTGAATTTGAGATCAGCGCGGATACATCGAGGCAAATCGGAGTGCCAGAATCCTTTCAGTTGGGGTCGACTAAAGATCTAAAAGTCTTGTTCGCTAAAATAGACCAAGCTTTTCCGCTGAGGATAGAACAGCGTTTGGAGACAACACAAACATGTTCCGGACGCATGTGCGAAGAATTTCTCGAGTCTGGGCTGCCAAGAGAGATCCTAATTATAGACGACCTCCTTTAGGGCAGGCCATAGCAACCTGAATAGCGGAATCAGGTGAAAGAATTCTCGCAGGAAAAGTTGAGAGTTCTTCCTCGAGAAGTTTCGTAACTCGCTGTCGAGATGCTAATGTGTCGATTCCTGGTGGCTATGAGGCTCAGAAGACGTTTCGTGGAGACAAGATTGACAAGCGTTGGATCCATGGAGCGGCGGAATATAGAACACCAAGGGGCCTTTTGATTCAATGAATGATAGTGGATTAGGTTCGGCCGGAAATAGATTCAGCTCATTGCGTAGCCTACATGGCATCAATGACGAATGGTATCCTCTAACCTTGATCGTAATAGCTCTGTCTTGTAATGACGACGCGCCCATGAAGCGGCATGTTTCGGACATTCCCTATTGTCAATGCACCTAGGGGAATTCGAAAATCGGTTCAATACTCTCGAAGATGACTCGCGAATGAAATCCATTACCACAGTCAGGTATCTTGACTACGCTTCTTACCTTTATCGTATTTGGCAGACTCTGCCAAAGCACCAAAGTTTAGGCTTTGGGATTTCTTCATTAAGCTATAACGACTTTTCAGTCCAACGAATCAAGCAACCCATCTTTAAACCTTACACCTTTTGGTGGGAATGTGCATCTTACTTTGATAATTTTTGTTTATGAAATATCTAGGGTCCCTTGTCCATGTCACATACAGTGGACTGTTCTACCCGTCTCATGAAGACTTGATAGTGTTGTCTTCCACGTGTGGCTATATGAATGTCCGGTAACTGTATCCGTTCCATGGAGAATGAACAATCCTGCCCCTTCACCTTGTTAAGTATCAACAGACCTGCCCTCTTTATGAAGCTTTCCAGAATCAAGCCGCGCCTAAACTCTTGCCAACCCTTTTTGTGCTTTATTTGAACACCATGCCAGCCTTGGTAGGTTTTGACGTTTGCAATCGCCACATGAAGCCTAGATCGCTGTGCCCATTACGCAAGTCTCTCAAGTTGTGCCCGCTTTGTGGAATTTCGAAAACTGAACCTGCCTCGTAAAGGAACTGAGAAGAAACAATGACTTAGCACAAGCTTCACCCTTAAAAGTTTTGCCAGTCATTCCCGCTTGACAAAGACTTCCTGGCTGCACTTGCACTTTGAAGTTTCGAAGTTTTTGCTCGTCTGGGAAGTCTCAAGAGCTGCACTCGCCTTGCATATTCTTAACAATTGTACCCGCTCTCAAAAGTTTTGAAGGTTGTACTTGCCTTGTTTGTAAACTCTGGTCAGTCCTACCCGCCTCATGAGACTTCAAAAAGTCTACCCGGTCTCTCGAAGCTCTTAAAGCCCCATCCATCTCATGGGCTCTTCCCTCTTCCAATTTTAGTCCTCTCAGGTTCCTCTCTTTTTACAGTTTTCTTCCACCAAACATCTTTTTGGTGGCCACGCTCCAGTCGCCTTCAGCAGTATCAAACATCACCACCTAGGTAAGTAAACCCATCTCTTCTACGCTATCTCGATACTTGAGAGTGTCTTCTAGATTTCTTCCAATATTCTCATCTCCTTTCTACTAGCGCCCTCGATTTTGGTGGAGAAAGCCATCACAAGCTGAGCTGCGAAAACGGGCCGTTCACAGGTGCTCGAGTCTCTTGAGTGAGAATCTTAGCTGATTGTTTCACAGCCTCCAGACATCTTTGCAGAAACTTCGCATACCATACACAGTTACGACAACAGTAGGTCAGTTGTTCTATATTTCATCGTTCATCTCGTCCTATGCCGAGATTCGCAAAAACCGGCCCTTTTGGTCTGCTTTTGCGTGTCGATAGCGCTCTCCTTCTCGACCATCGACAGCGTGCTTCCCGATTCAAAGCAACGAGTGACACCAATACTTACTGACCTTTGCAATCCTTCCCTCCTTGATATTACTTGATTCGTTTCGAACTGCGGGAAGTAGCTGTCAGTTGCGCCTTCTAACTCAGTCTCCAAGAAAGAGTAAGGGAACAGAAGACAAGCGCGCTGTACAACTCTCTTCTGGTGCCTCACTCGCTATTAATCTTACCCTCGCTTTGAACTATCATTTATTGCCTACATCTCCGCTAACTTTCATCAACAGTCCGCTCCAGCTCTTGCCATATCAGTGGCAATGTCCTGTCAGGCCATCTCCAAGCCGACCATGGGTCCGGCTCGCCGCACCCGCGCTCACAGTCAGACTCTCATCAACAGTGTCGGTGCCGCCGCTGCCGTCAGCAAGATAACTGGCGCTGCCAATCCTACCATCAAGGGATCGAACACCTTAGCCACCAAGCCCCAGGCTAAGAAGGTCAAGAAGGAAGAGAAGGCCAAGCAGGTCGCGAAGTGCAAAAAGGTCCAGAAGCCGAAGCCTCGCTTCGACACCTTTCACCCGTTCCCCCGTCTCCCTAATGAGATCAAGGCAATGATCCTTTGCGAGTACATCCATTTCGAGCCTGCCATCATTTACGCTAGCTGCAAGGCCAACAAGAGCACCCCGGGCCTCATCGACGTCAACACTGGCAATGATGGTAAGCACTCGAAGTACAAATGCATCGCTGAGCTCATCAAGGGCATCCCCGGCTTCGAAGCCTACGTCGAGCGCCAGATTGGCGTCTCGTTCAAGGACTTGTCCTACCGCCCCGAGGAAGGCGTCCGCAAGGGCAAGGATCTCATGGTTCTTGTCTTCGACGACAAGTGGGGCCATTACCTACACTGGCACAGCGATTCCCAGCGGAAGCTTAACCGCGAGCAATTCATGCCCGGCATTGAGAATATTGGCGTCATGTACGATCCGACCCGCCTTCGCGGTCTATGTACAGGCTTTGGACTCTCTGGGCCTGACTTCCTGGCCTCTTACGATCTCAGCATGCTTGTCAGCAATCTCCGTGACATTAAAAACTTCTATCTTCTCGTCAAGTTGCGCGGCGGTAGTCAGACTGAGCAGAAGAAGTGGATGAAGAAGCGGCTTGGTATGTGCTACCGCAGCTCTGGGAGCACGTCCATTATGGCTCTCACTTGTACTAACAAGAACACAGGCATTGCGAAGCGTTGCAACAACAATTTCGTGGTCTTCGAAGACAAGCAGAGAACTTGGGTAGAGATCTCTCGGAAGACTGTCAAACACCAGGCGTATAGCTCTCTTCTGACAGATGCAGACAAACTACTCAAAACCACCGAGCTGTACTACCATTTAATCGGCAGACGGTTGGGTGCACCCCTCAACGTCCAATTCCGCATCCTGGTGGCGTCGCATTTCCTGAACAAGAAGCTGGGAATTTGAGACTGAGCTCCGCCACGAACAAGTTTGCCTCGAAGAATCCATGGCAGCACAGTGCTTGGTAAGGAGGCAGTCAAGAAGGGATACGGCAGTATGGCTATGGCTTCATGAGAATCGGCTTTACAGATGAACGCAGTTCATAAATAAGGCCTCAGCTCATGTGCATTCGGGTTTGAGAGAGGGTATGAGGCAGGAAGTGCAATTACCTTAGCTCAGAAATCCGTATCATTGCAATTCGAGGAAATCAAATATCCAGGCTGCAGTCCGTGACATGGTGCCATTGATCGTCATTCTTGCAGGCATGCAGCGCTGCGACGGGACCCTCTCAGTTCTCATGCATGGCATGACATAAGTGGGCGTCCCTCGTTACTGTTGCCAAGTGATGATCACGGTCTAGTTGCTGCTGGGCATTTGGACCTGCATGATGTGAGTTGAGGGTTCGTGACAGCTTCACATTGACTGACTATTGTGAAGTGATATCCGAAAAAGAAGGGCACTCCATAAAAGCTAAAGATCAGCTAGAATCCAAAGACGAAGTGGACCGTCGTCATTCGGGTGAGATCCGCCCGCTCGGCTCGGCTTCCGATCGGCGGAGCCTCGAAAAAGCGCCTTATCACGAGCAAATCCCACCGCCGGAAACGAAAAGATTTCGGCGCCGAATGCTTATCCCAGTGGCTTCGATTTCCGGTTTAAAGCCTTGCCTTAATTGTCTTGGGGCGGCATCGGAGCATTTCGCTGGGGTGGAAAAGCGACTAGGGGACTGACTAATTTCAACGGCGATATCGTCCGACGCAAGCAGCGATAAGTCGAGAGCTAAGAACCTTGTTACTCTTGCTCATGTCGCACACGTCACTTCAGTCGAATTCTCTTGATTGTAAGTTCGATTTTTGATTAAACACATGAGACTAAATTAACACTCATTCTGTGTACAGATTGAACGAAGTTTTGCCAATTATAATGAGATTCATTCCAAGACACAACGACGATGACGACTTCGAATAAACGCCCAAGCAGCGAGCCGCAATGGTTCAAGACATCCATCGATGTTCTCCAAGCGATAAAGCTAGTATGTCCAACTCACAATTTCATCCTTTTTCTGTAAAAA